GTCAAAAGCAAGGCAAATAATTGATGAAGAGGAACTGCTGACGAGTTTCAGTTTCTTTTCATGTGTTGGTTGTGTTTCCTTTCATATATATATATATATATATATATATATATATATATATATACATATATATACACATATGTATATATATATATATATATATATATATATATACACATATATATACATATATATATATATATATATATATATATATATATATATATGTGTAAGCGTAAGTGACCACGCAAGCCACTAGATGTAAGCGTAACAGAGATGGTCTTGGGCGGTCAATGAAAGGGGTCTTAACTTGCTGGTTTATTTCTGAAGATAGATATGAGACCCCAAGAGATCCCCGTGTCCCCGGGTGGAGGACGAGGTGGTGGAGCTGGACCCTGTGTCGCTTGGCCTGTCTGCCCTGTCTCCTTCTGTCTTAGGCACGTGCCCTTTTATGCGGCGGTTTCCTTGGAGGGCGGATGTTTATTCCTGTGTGAAAAGAGAAAGGAGGGCAGCACCTGCATCCTGCGCAAGGAGAAAGGCATTTGCTTGGACCGAGGTGTGAATCTGCCATCCGGTCTTGCTACGTATTGTTCACATCGCTCGGCCACGCGAAAGGCTCGTCCTCGAGCCGTCTGCAACGCTGGAACACTGCAGTAGCGCATAGGGATACATGTTCTGTTCGGTGTCTACAGATGGTTTCTGGTGATCCGATGGTCGCTTGGGTCGTCGCGTGCCAAGGTAGCGGGTGCGGCGGAGGTTTCGCACTGAGGTGCAACATTCAGTAGCGAGGAGGGTCAATCATCTTCAGAAGCTGAAATATAAGTGTACCAGGCCAGTAAAAGGGCTAAGGAGGAGGATAATAATGTGTTTGTCAATCACCTTACTAAGTTGCAAGAAAAAAATGAGGGCATAATAAGAATAATTTGTTACGAGAAGGGTAATGTGTCAAGTAAGTGGGTGTTAATTACATGGATTTCTTAGGATTAGCGAGTTCTGTAGAGTACCATCATACCGAAGAAAGAAAAAGTAATTGGACAAGAATTCCATATCTTTGGGCTAAATAGGCAAGTATATATGCTTCGAACATATAGGCAGCTGGGCCTGAACTTAATTCTAACAGTGCGCGTCTCGGCGCTTCAATCGTATGAGCGTAAGTGTGCGGCGGGCGCAGGATTCCTTCGTTTACGGCCATGAGCCGGGCGTGCGCGTCTGGGGCGCTTCAATCGTATGAGCGTAAGTAACATGTCGGTGCGGCGGGCACATGATTCCTTCGTTTACGGCCATGAGCCGGGCGTGCGCGTCTGGGGCGCTTCAATCGTATGAGCGTAAGTAACATCTCGGTGCGGCGGGCACAGAATTCCTTCGTTTACGGCCATGAGCCGGGCGTGCGCGTCTGGGGCGCTTCAATCGTATGAGCGTAAGTAACATCTCGGTGCGGCGGGCACAGAATTCCTTCGTTTACGGCCATGAGCCGGGCGTGCGCGTCTGGGGCACTTCAATCGTATGAGAGTAAATAACATCGCGGTGCGGCGGGCGTAGGATTCATTCGTTTACGGCCTTGAGCCGGGCGTGCGCGTTTCGGGCGCTTCAATCGTATGAGCGTAAGTAATATCTCGGTGCGGCGGGCGCAGGATTCTTTCGTTACGGCCATGAGCCGGGCTTAAAATTAACTTGCGGTGATAATAATTATGTAAGCCTATATGAAGTATGGTGTCCTGTAATGCATTATCATCGTTATGATCATTTGCAATAGACTACCTACCATCAGTCAGATACAAGTTACATATTCACCAATTCCTTAAACTAAAGAAGCATAAATTCTTGCATAGATGATGATAAGATATCGAACTTCGAGAGGGCGTCATGAAAGCGGTTTGGGTTCAGTTAAAAGTCTTAGGGATGGCACTTAGTAAAATTCATAATCCTAGAGTGAAATCCGTGTAGGGTGGGCAGGTAGGTGGGTTTGGGCCGAAGGCAGGTAATCGACATGTATCTTCAACCTATGTGTGAAAAAGCGAACGATTAGCGTGGGGAGTATAAGTAAATACAGGTGTTGTGAAAGACAGAACGATATACGCACATTCATAGAGGAAGTAGTAACGAGTTACTTACTAATAGGGTACAGTATGCAGGTGAAAACAATATCACAGCGAAAATCGTAGCAGTAAATATGAATAACATAACGGGGGAAATCGAACATATCTACACATACTTATCTGTTCTAAGAGAAAATAGAATATAATGAATTGCAATGTGAAGACAATAATAATAAACATTAGATAAAAAACAGAATAGCAGAAACATATCATAGCAATTAAAGTATGGTTAGGGAAGGGGATTGAGGTGTGAGGTGTGGGTGGGTGTCACTTAGGTTTGATCTCTGTGTGTGACTTCGTTTGTTGTGTTGAAAAAACAATGGTTGACAGCGAGAAGTTATGTATTATATAGTTAGTAGTTTGTGTTCGTTGAGTGGCATGTACTTGAACTTGAAAGAAGGCAACTTGTATGTAAGGTGTGGGTGGGTATAGGGAGGGCAATAGTTAATCTGGCACTAATAGGCACACTTACTTTTAATAGTAGCTAGGAAGTATTGGTGGAGCTGGGTAGAATGGCGGCTCCATGGATGTGCTGACGAAGGTTCGTGAAGACGTGGCGAGGTAGATGAGCCGGATTTGTGGCGGCGTAGAGTGCGGGAACATATCGTCAGCGACTTCGTCAGGAGGGTAGCACAGACGTGAGTAGTCAGCACGAAGTAGTAGGGTAGACATGGTGCGAAGAAGACTTGGTAGCGATGGCTGGGCGTTAAAGTAGGCGAGGAGGCACTTCGACAGTAGTAGCTTGTAGGCAGATAGCATGGATCGGCGTCGGCGAGGAGGTAAACGTAAGGCGTTCTGAGGTTCTTGATCACCGCTGCCATCAGATGTAAGCGTAAGTGACCACCGCTGCCATCAGATGTAAGCGTAAGTGACCACGCAAGCCACTAGATGTAAGCGTAACAGAGATGGTCTTGGGCGGTCAATGAAAGGGGTCTTAACTTGCTGGTTTATTTCTGAAGATAGATATGAGACCCCAAGAGATCCCCGTGTCCCCGGGTGGAGGACGAGGTGGTGGAGCTGGACCCTGTGTCGCTTGGCCTGTCTGCCGTGTCTCCTTCTGTCTTAGGCACGTGCCCTTTTATGCGGCGGTTTCCTTGGAGGGCGGATGTTTATTCCTGTGTGAAAAGAGAAAGGAGGGCAGCACCTGCATCCTGCGCAAGGAGAAAGGCATTTGCTTGGACCGAGGTGTGAATCTGCCATCCGGTCTTGCTACGTATTGTTCACAATATGTATATATATGTATATATATATATATATATATATATATATATATATATATATATATATATATATATACATGTATGTATGTATATATGTATGTATGTATAACTTACTATGAGAAGATTTACCTTATATGAAACCAGACTTAGTTGGCGTAGTCAGACTTGAGGCGTTTTTACTTTCACTGACAAATAAAAATCCCGTGATTGTGCTAGTATGCTAGACATCAAAATAATGCCTTTGTGATTTCTTTTGAAGTTTCAGTATGTGCCTTTTTCTTCTTGACGATTATTTTTTGCGAATTAATGTAGTGTTTTTCGACTGCTTATCAGGTATATCGGAGGTCAATTACATCACTGTTTCAAATAGGATTTCATAATGTACTTCAGTCCTGCTCAGTCTATTTCATATTCGGTTTAGGTGATAGACGATTTCTAAATCCCTGATTGCAGCAGGTATACAGGTGTTTTCCAGGTCATATAAGTCTAAGAGTGAAACTGAGTACCATTTAGTGTAAAAAAAAAAAAAACACAACACAAATACATACACTCTATATACGTATATGGTTTAAGTATCTGTCAATACTGTAGATATTCATTCAATATCCAAACCAACCATATAGAAATTCTGGGTTTACACTAGACAATGAACTGAGTTAGAAACCTCATGTTCTGAATATTTCGAAAACTCCTGTTTACAAGACCAGATGTTGATTTTTTTCTATCCACAGTAGACATATTACTGTCCCTTGTGAGAAGCTGAAATAAACTCCTTAAAGAAACACATATTAACAATCGATTATACCCATGGCTATGACCATAAAGACCTTTCAGTATTGAGGAATTATGTATTCCAGAAACCGGAACTACACTTGCACAACATAATGTTATTTTCAGAGTTTCTTTTTTTTTCTTTATTTCTTTCCTTCTAACTTGAACCATGGAACCAAGTGTTTCAGTTTGAAGAAAAGGAAAATTGCAAATAATCTTTAAAACTATTATAAAAGATTTTTCATGACATTTGCGTTTGACTGTACAGTCTCAGTTACTATAAATAACTGAGGATGATTTATTTATGAATTCACAGGTCTGTTAACTATTTTCCTCGTTGGATCAGGACTTTTCAGTTTTCAAGAACGTTTCACTAGAACATTTAATACACATTGCACATTGCACATTGCTACACATGATGAACCATAAAGAAATATAACTATTAGTGCTTTCTATTTGCATTTTTGTAAGACTTTTATATACCTTTCATTTCCTTTCTATAAATGACTTTATGAAATCGTTTTAATCACTTACAAATTGTGAAATGAGCATCACAAAAGTTATCTAAAAAATAATAATTCGTGCATAATTTGCGCATACCAATATATAGGTCTCCATATTGAAACCTCTATTCTATTTCGTAAAAACGGACTCTGTACTGCACTCAATACACTTTTACAAGGAAAGGAATTCGCAAGGAAAAGCAAATGAATTTGTTCCAGAAATCACGCCCAGCGAGACCGCAGAAGGGATCGCCATGATTAGGCACTTTAGAGGCCGCAAATATGATTGCAAAGTCGTTTGTCCACAACTTGGATGGACCTTGATTGGGTGATATATACCGGCGGAGGTGACCGAGGGCCGTCAGACAGCTCCCTTGTGTCGGGTGGGTCCAGTCCTCTGCTGCGTCGCC